GCTGCCGGGGCCGACGAGCGGGGACCCGGCCGGCTACCTGCTCTACTGCCCCTGCATGGGTGAGCCTGGGTCCGCGGGTGCCCTCCCCCCGCTCCCCGGAGGGCTGCGGCCTGCCCCGTTGCCGTGGTAACGGGCGGGCATCCCATTGCCACGGAGATGGGCACGTGGGGGGCGGCATCCTGTTGCCTTGGTGATGGGCGGAAGGGGTCTCCAGGCATCTCGTTGCCCTGGGGGGGCGGGGTTCCCCCGGTATCCCGTTGCCATGGTGACAGGCGGAAGTAGGGCCCTGGGCAGCCGGATGGGTGGAAGGGGGTCCCTGGGCATCTGGTTGCCGTGGTGATGGGCATGGGGGGGAAGTTCCCCAGGTATCCCGTTGCCATGGTGACAGGCACATGGGTCATCCCGCTGCCCCAGGGATAGGCACGTGGGGGGGTCCTGAGCATCCCGTTGCCCTGGTGATGGGCATGTGGGGGCGTGTCCTCCAACATCCCGTTGCCCTGCCATGCGTACATGGTCCTGGGTATCCTGTTGCCCTGGTGACGGGCAGAAGAGGGTCCCTGGTATTCCTATTGCCCCGGTAAGGGGCACGGGAGGCGGTGCGTCCCTGAGCACCCCACTGCCCCCTTGACGGGCACATGGGGAGGCCCTGGGCACCATGGGCATGTTTGCTGACCCCTCTCTTTTCCCCATTCTTGCAGGGAGGTTTGGGAACCAGGCGGATCACTTCCTGGGCTCCCTGGCGTTTGCCAAGACCCTGAACCGCACCCTGGCTGTGCCCCCCTGGATCGAGTACCGGCACCACCGGCCTCCCTACACCAACGTGAGTCTCACCCGGTGCCTCGCCCCTCCGTGCGGGGTGCGCCAGCGCCAAGAGCTGGCCCTGTCCTACGCCAGGGTGGCGGTGGCTCACGTCGCCTTGCGAGCATCCCCCTCCCCGTCGGTCCAGAGCTCGTTGTAACAGGCCCCAACGCATGCTAAAGGCTGCAGGGGCGCGAGGAAACCATAGCCACGGCTCCAAGGAGTTTGTCATTTCCCTTGGGGGGGCTTGAGAGATGCACGTCTGCTTAGCTGACCTGGTGGGTGGCTTGAAAATGTGGAAGCCAGTCAGGTTTCTTGGTTTGCTTCTGCGTTGCTTTTATTCAGTATGACAGGCAGCGTGACAGGGAGCTCTGCGGTTTACAAGGTAAAGCGATGTTTCCAAAGCTCGCTGGGGAAATGTGAAGTGTTTGTTCTTATTTGTGGCCAAGGGTCACAACCTGTGAGTAGCCAAACTGGCGTCCCAGGAGTCACGACTTCCCGTGTTATGTTCTTCCCTCTCTAGATTGTCCCTCTTCCTACACCCCCCAGCCCCCCATTCAATTACTGGGAAGCTGTAGGCTGTCAAACATGAATGTCACCGGACCCACAGATGCCCTGAGCTATTGATCCTGCCCCTCACTAAATGCGAATGGAGATGTAGCCAGGACTGACTTCTGGTTGCTCAGCGAGTGAATCTGTTTCTCTCATTTACAGCTGCATGTTTCCTACACGGAGTACTTCAAGCTGGAGCCTCTCCTGGATTATCACCGGGTTATCAGCTTGGAGGAGTTCATGGAGAAACTGGCACCAGTGCACTGGCCTCCCGGCAAGCGAGTGGCTTACTGCTTTGAAGTAGCAGCCCAGAGAAGTGCCGACAAAAGGTCTTGTCCCATGAAGGTAAATTTCCTGCTCCTAGTTTGCTAGGTTAAAAAAGAGGATTGCTGCAGTTCTAGACTTGCTGGCTAATATGTTTGGGCCTGGCCTAAAGCTCATTGCAGGATTTGGTAGGGTTGTGCGCGAGTGATTTATCATTTTCAAATGAACTGTGACTTTGGGCAGACAGGACCTTAAGAAGGCAGATGTTCCCCTGGCTCTTCCACAGAACCCCCATCCATTCAGCGTTGCTCAGCTGATTGGATAAGCCCTGCTCTTTTAGGATAAATGGTCCCAGGGGTGCTAGGCCTGTGTGCCTTGATATCCTCTAAAATGTTTTTGGAATGGTCTTTATTTTACTTAATATAAAACTCTCCAGAGTTCTGCTGCTTCTTAGTGAGCTGTTGGGTGATGAGCAGAGTCAGCTGTGATTGCTCCCCCTTCTGTAGCACAGTTATGACTGCAGACCACTCCATCCAACTCCTCCGTCTCCTTACTGATTTCAGCTCTAAAGTCAGAGATTCTGTCAGAAATTGCTGGTTTACACATGGTGGGGCTGTCCCTGGTGAACAGTTCTCTTTGTTTTGTAGGATGGAAACCCATTTGGTCCATTTTGGGACCAATTCAATGTGGATTTTGATAGGTCTGAGCTCTTCAGAGGCATTTCCTTCAGTTCCTCCTACAAGGACCAGTGGATGCAAAGGTATGAAGGGCCTGGGGAGGTTGAGCACAGTGATGGATTGGGTGATACCAGTGGTTGGACATACATAGGCACTTGGAATGGCTCTGAGGAAAGCAGTGGCTTAGTTGCATTTTTGAGTCCATTCATCATTGTGAGGTGGTTTGAAGTGACTATTTGACATTGCAACTATTAACGTATAATCAAGGGCAAACCTTGAAGCTATTTCCAGGGGTTATTAGCCCAGCAATCAGTTCCTTTGCCCGGTATGCTTTGCGAACTATGTAGGGCTGATTGAGTTATCAGCCAAAGATTGATTAAGTTTAATTACTCTGGTCTCAGCCAGTGTACAAAGATTACACTACACTTGACTTGTGTCCATCGTACACCTCGTGTTATCTACCTCGCATAAAGCTACAACTGACTTAATATGTATCACTGCAGTAGCAATACGTATCTGAACTGTTTTAGCCAGGAATGGGAAGCATCTGTATTCTGTTTAAGTAGCTATTATATTACCATGAATGTCAGACTTGCTTGTCTTTCCTTTGTCCTCTAAACTATATTAATTTTGGATTCGTTATTGAATCAGAAGTAAAAAGCAGTGTCTGATGACTTTGTCAGTTGTGTGTAATGTTGTAATTCCAGTGTTGAAATGGTGAGGATTTTCTAATGCCAGATCACTTGTTTCTGTAGAGTCTCTGACATGTCTGCTTTGTCCTTGCAGCAGGTCTATTCAAGCTCATAACATTTCCTGGCCACCCTTTCCCTGTCTCTCCTGTTTCCCAGAGAGCCTGTAAACACACCACACTTCCATCTCATTTCCTTTTCCAGGTTTCCACCTTCAGAACACCCTATTCTTGCCCTACCTGGAGCACCAGCTCAGTTTCCAGTGTTAGAGGAGCATCGGCCTCTGCATAAGTATGTCGTGTGGTCTGATGAGATGGTGAAGAAGGGAGAGGAATATATTCATTCTCTCCTGGTCAGGCCTTATGTAGGAATTCATCTGAGGATTGGTTCAGACTGGGTACGTCGCTTGCATAGATTTCAGTGCATGTCATGCATGCGGGTACTGCCACTGCCATGCATGCAGTGCCATGGACCGACAGCCACCATTCCTTTAGAAAAGTTTACTAGACAGCCCTGATATGATCATCCCCTCTGGCACCAGAGTCTAAATCCAGCTTGTGCTCCTCTGCCACCCAAAGTTGGACTTGGGGTCGGATCAGGTTCTAATTGTTACTTTCACACATGGCGTTTTCTTCTCCTTTCTTCAATAGAAGAATGCTTGCAATATGCTGAAGGATGGGACAGCGGGGCCTCACTTCATGGCTTCACCACAGTGTGTAGGCTATGACCGAAGCACAGCTGTGCCTCTCACCATGGATATGTGCCTTCCAGACCTGACAGAGATCAAGCGTGCGCTCGAGCTCTGGGTGAAGAAGGTAGAAGCAAAATCTGTTTACATTGCCACTGATTCTGAGCCCTACACCAAGGAAATACAGCAGCTTTTCCAAGGAAAGGTAGGTTGCAGATTCTCGGACTAATGGTGCTGCCCCAGTAGCATCTTTGCCCCCATTTTCTACTTATGCAACACTTGCCACTGCAGGCTATGGTCATTTGGTTGTGTAGTAGCTGTTCAGTGAAATTAAGGCTAGTTTAAAGCAGGTAATGCTCACTGTGTAACCATGTTGCTGCATGTAGCCTAGTGTCAAAGGATGAGATGTCTCTGCAGGTGCTGAGTGTCGTCAGAGTGAAGGGTACTCAGAATCTTGTAGGACCGAGTCCTCAATGGGCTGTGTGTGATGCCAGTCTAATGGCTGGTTCCAGCTTGGTGGATCTGTAACTTTTTGACTCAGACCTGGTTCTAGTTAGTTGGTGTCAAGTGAAATGTTATTGCCCGTGTCTAGAGCAATGCAGACACTAGGAAATGGCTACCTATATATTGGAAATCTCCATTATTGACACCTGAAATAAAAAACAAACTTTGTCCACAACTGCAAGACTTAGATGCTGAGACTGTGGAAAATGTAGACTCCTCCAGATGCAACAGTCCCAGGTCTGTATTTTGATGGATTTTGTCTTAGAAAGGACTTGGGCTAAATCTTACAAAAGAAATATCACATTAGTGAGCTGTCTTCTTGATTGTAGTAGTCACTGGAAACCCAGGAAGGGCTGTTTTAGATGAGGGTAGGCGAAAGCAGTGGGTAGATTCCAGTTCATACCCCAGCTTGCCGTGTTATTAAGAATCGACATATGGTGCCGTGTTGCTTGGATTAACTTGCTCTGTCTGTTTCTTTGTGCAGGTCAAAGTGGTGAATTTGCAACCTGAAGTGGCCCAGATTGACTTGTACATCCTTGGCCAGTCTGACCATTTTATTGGGAACTGTGTTTCTTCATTTACTGCCTTTGTGAAGCGAGAGCGTGATGTGCATGGGAGACCTTCCTCATTTTTTGGCATGGACCACCCGCCGAGGCTGCGGGATGAGTTTTGACCAGGACACGAACAAGCAGTAGTTTTTGTTCTTAGAGCTGTGAACTCGGGAGCCCTGTTGACAGATATACCAGGACACAAACATTTTCATAAAAGAATAGGATATGCCAGCTGTATTGATAGGCTTGTCCTGAGGCCTTCATTTCGTCCTTGTGTTAGTTCTGGATTCATTCTGACTGACTTCTCAGTTTTGCCATGTTGCCAGCATGAGATCAGAAAGGGAAAGTGAATTTTAAACGCTGTACATTATATGAAACCTTCCATTCTCCTTATTTTGGATTATCAGCTATCTTGATTAGGTAGCTGTTCACATTTCATCTTTCTCCTATGTCTTGTTGTTTTTCTTGGAGGTACCAGGAAGGTTCTTGTCATGATGGATCATTCCAGGTTCTCTGTAAGTGCTAAGTATTATTGAAAGGGAACATGCTCCATGAAAGGAACATGGCTTCAGGCTCAGGACTTTTTAGGGATTAGATGATCTGGGTTTTATTCCAAGTGCTACTGCTGTCCCATTATGGGCCAGTCAGCTCTGTGCCCCGGTTTACCTGTCTGTAAAATGGGTTTCAAACCTACCTCACTGGAGTGTTATTAGGATTGATCCGTTACATTTGCACATCACTTTGAGATCTCTAGGGTGCTTCAGAAGTACAGTGATGGTATATCAGAATGATGCAGGTACCTGCTCAACCTGTCTTAGTGACTGCACTGACCTAGGGAGCATGGGGCAATATCATGACAAGCTGTTGGAGCTGGATGTTTGTAACTTCACAGATTTCATTACTGTTGTCACATGGTGGGAGGGAGAAGGGGATGGCTGCAATGATCCCTAAATCTTTGGAAGCTCAGATTTTTAGAAGAAATGGATCTGGTATAAAATAACCTTAGCAAAGGATAAGGAGATGGTGACAACAGCGTGTGCCTTGTCTTATTTTGGGTGAAAGTTTTTCTGCCCTCTCCACAGACTGCATAATCTGATCCTCAGTGCTGGTTCCCACTACTTTAACTGGGGACTCATCCTCTTGTGGCAAGATAGTCTCAGAAGCCAGGATTAGGCTGTGGCCCAGGACAGGTTAGTTTTCCATTGGTGACTCTGGAATTTTGTTTCCTATCTCTGTGCGAGCCAGTCACTGTTTGGCCAAGGCCCCTTGTTCCTGTGACATCTTGTAATGGATTGGGTATGGCACTATCTCCAATTACTTTCTCATATTGGCTGTATGAGGACGCAGATTCACAGAAGTTTAGGGCTAGAAGGGACCTTGTGAGATCATTGGGTCCAGCCCCCCTGCTCTGGGCAGGAAAGACTGCTGGGGTCAAATAACCCCACAAGGTGTGCATCCAGTCTCCTTTTGAAGATCTCTAGGGTAGGTACCCTGGACGTCTTCTAATGTGCTCTTTGGTCTCTCTTCTCTTGGAGCATTTTATTTTGTTTTAGTTGCGCAAATTTCTGTTCCCTGTGGTTTGAAGAGAACACTGCCGGAGGAGATGAGGCCTGGCAGAGGTTGGAAGCCACCCAGGCTGTAAGAGCCTCTTGCTTCTCAGTGCTAATTTCCAGAAATGTATGGGGCCAAGTTGTTTCAGTGAGGCTAGCTGTGAGTATTCCAGGTGCTGGACTGCTGCGGGTTTATGTAACTGGAAGCCCATAAACCAAATTGATATATCTCTAGTATTTTTCCTCCTTTTTTTAGTCCAGAATGATGCAATCAAGACTGCTTTGGTTAGAAGTGGGAAATGATGATGCTTTCCCAAGATATCATGGTTGAGAAGATGTATTTTGACTCTTTTTACAGAAAATGTAATTTTGTATTTTTTTTCCACAGTAAAACATTGAAACTTATTTTGTTTTAAATATTCATTTTTATTCGCACTGAATTCTTATCCTTATTTACATGAAAGTATTTGACCCTAGTTCAGCCCAGATCAGTCATCGTCAAGGCTGCAATATCTTCGTAAAAAAGTATGTATCCTTTCCAACATCCATCAGTTCAAATATGGACATCCAAACGTACAAGCTATTAATAATGTGTTTAACTAAGCAATCGTTGTGGAAGAAGTCCATGGCTCACAGATGTGCTTATAGGTGCTTACTCTCAGACAGATCCCTCCGTGTGCATGCTTTCTGTTTAAAGTTTTAGGAGTAACAGCTTTTCTGTAATGAGTTATTCAGCATTTGTGTTTTCCAATTCATACTGTACTGTGATCCAAATTAATTTTCAGGTGTGGGTGAGCACTCAGATGTTAATGTGTTAGGAGGTTTTGGATGGTGCTTGCCCCCCCTCTTAGTTGCTGCAATGGTAAGGAGAAAATTGCTGTTTTTAAGGGGTGTTGGTTGTAGCCGTGTTGGTCTAGGGGCATAGGCAGACAAGGTTCTTTGGGCAAATGTGATCTCTTTTACTAACCCAACTGGATAGTTGGAAAAATGATTCTTTGCAAGTTTGCAGGCACAGGTGCCTTTCCTCAGGCCTAGGAAGTCTGCTGGTCTGTCTTTCCTCTAGGGTCCAAATAGAAGCTTAAGCCAATATACAGAATATAGATCTGCCACACACTTGCATTTTCATAGACCTGCTTTTTGCATATTAGCTTAAGCTTCTATTCAGACTTTAGAGAAAAGACAGACCAGCAGACTCTCCCTAGGCTGGAGGAAGGGTGCCTGTGCCCAAAAACTTGCAAGGAACTATTTTTCCAACTATCCAATTGGTCTAATAAACGATATCAAGTTTACCACTTGTCTGTTTGTAAGAGGACATTTTTTTAAATGCAAAATTTAATGAAATCTTGAGACTTGCGTCCAGTGTCTTTTTCAGTGCAAACTTCAACCTTTCCCTTAGTTTTTGGGAATGTACATTTCTGATAGTTTATATCTCTCTAAACTGCCCATGCTGCAGGTTTCACATGGTGTCTTCCTAAGTATCTGAAGCTGGCCACACTGGTTAAAGGATCTTGGTTTATAATCATAAGGAAGTTAGGCTGGAAGGGACCTGCAGGGATCATTTAGTCCAGTGGTTCTCAACCTTTTTTGTACTAGGACCCAGCTGTAAACATCAACGGTCAGTCCTGACCCACTGTCCCCTGCCCTCCACTGTGTGGGGCAGGGGGCCAAACAGCCCCTTGCAGGCTGGAGCTCTGTCAGCCTGCAAGGAAAAGGCCATGGGTTCCCACATTTGTCTCCTTTAAAAGAGAACCCATTTTTAAAATTTGTTCACGACTCTTTTGCAGATGCGTCCCAACCCACTTTTGGGTCGCGACTCACAGGTCAAGAAGTGCTGCTCTAGTCCAGCCCCCTGCCTCAAGCAGGATCAGCCCTATCCAAACACCCGACATAAGACTACTGTCAACCCCGACCCAACACGGTTGTGCACAGATGTCCTCTCGCACCAGGACATGCACGGCCCTGGGTTCTGCAGGAGCTGCCGGGTGCCAGCGGTTTGCTTCTCCAAACACATCACCAAAAGCAGGCAGGCTCGCAGCCGGGGCTGGGGGCGCATCAGCAAAACACAAAGCCGGGCCCTGCCCCTTGGCTGCTCTGCACTACTGGAGCTGGCTCCAGGGAGGTAGGAAGAAACTGCCCTTCCCTCCAGAGCCTCAGGCCTGCCCCTTTGGAGCCAGGCTCGCTGTTCCTCTTTTGGAAGCGGAGGGAGCCTGGCATGCGCCGCCTGGGCCCCGGGGCTGTGCCTTGCCCTTCACCCCCCAGCTAGGACACCATGCCCTGCAGCCTGTGCTAAGCCACGTGCCCAACAGCACCCAGCTCCGCGCATGCGCACGGCGTCCGCAAGCAGCGCCCAGTTTACACATGCGCACAGCGCCCCTAGATCCGCGCATGCGCACGGTGTGCCCCGGATGCAACACGGCCCTCCCCCCTGAGGGCGGGGGCCCGTTGCTAGGGAAGCGGAGGCCCCTCCCCTCTAGGCCTTGTCGCTACGGAAATGAGGCCCGTTGCTAGGCCGGGTTGCTAAGGAAGTGATGGCTTGGGGGCGGGCACTTGGGTTGCCAAGGAAGTGAGCGGTGGTCGCTCCCCTTCCCCCCCCGTATCCGGTGCTGCGGGAGAGGCGGCTCCATGGTGACGGCG